AGACATCCTGGAGTGCAAAGTCAAGTGGGCCTTAGGAAGCATCACTACGAACAAAGCTAGTGGAGGTGGTGGAATTCCAGCTGAGCTATTTCAAATTCTAAAAGATGATGCTGTGAAAGTACTGCACTCAATATGCCAGCAAACTTGGAAAACTCAGCAGTGGCCACAGGACTGGAAAAGGTCAGTTTTCATTCCAATCGCAAAGAAAGGCAGTGCCAAAGAATATTCAAACTACCACACAATTGCACTCATTTCACATGCTAGCAAAGTAATGCTCAAAATTCTCCAAGTGAGGCTTCAACAGTATGTGAACCTAGAACTTCCAGATGTACAAGCTGGATTTAGAAAAGGCAGAGGAACCAGAGATCAAATTGCTGACATCCATTGGATCATAGAAAAAGCAAGAGAATTCCAGGAAAACATCTACTTCTGCTTAATTGACTATGCCAAAGCCTTTGACTGTGTGGATCAAAATTCAGTTCAGTTCAGTTAAGTCGCTCAGTCATATCTGACTCTTTGCAACCCCATGGACTCTAGCATGCTAGGCCTCCCTGTCCATCACCAAAATAAACCATGGAAAATTCTTCAAGAGATGGAAATACCAGACCACTTTACCTGCCTCCTGAGAAATCTGTATGCAGGTCAAGAAAGCCACTCAGTGGTGTGTGACTCTGTGATCCCATGGACTGTAGCCCGTCAGGCCCCTCTGTCCATGGAATTCTCCAGGCAAGAGTACTGGAGTGGGTAGCCGTTCTCTTTTCCAAGGGATCTTCCCAACCCAGGGATCGAGCCCAGGTCTTGCACATTGCTGGTGGGTTCTTTACCACCTGAGCCACCAGTGAAGCCCCTAGACTTCAGGGAGAAGGGCAAAAACTATTACAGAATTCAGAATTTTTAAAGAGTACCAAACAAAATCCTTATGTCCTAGACTGCAGATCAGCAGCACCTAGTGAAATTAATTAGAATTTCCCTTAGATGAGGAAAAATATTTAGAACTAGAAAGGTAGAAGAGAGAAGAGCTATATAGCCTGGCTATGGAAATTTAAAATGTAAACTAAAGCAATATCAGAAGCCATTTTTTAAGAGAAGATTGAATGAGCTTTCAAAATTATAAACTGTATAGAAAATTTTAAAGTATCATTCTGATATAAACCCAACAGCTGACGTATAGTCTTGTTCTAAATGGGCTCAAACCTGAATTAGAGAACTTAATAAGAAAAAAATAAATTCAAATGTGAAATTGCCAATCTAGAAAATACCCAGTATGGGGCTAGACATTTCCCGACACCCTTAGAAAGTAGATAATAAAGGGTCGGAGGGAGTGGCAGGTAGGAGAGAGGTTCAGGAGGGAAGGGTGTGTGTAAACCCATGGCTGATGCGTGTTGATGCATGGTAGAAACCAACCCTAGACTGTAAAACAATTATCCTCAGTTAAAAATAAATCTAAAAAAGAAAGCAGATAATCAATACAAGATATGGCTCTCTAGATAAAACATCGAGAAGCACCTCTGTTTTCAAAGATTTGGGTGCTAGACAAGGCCCGCAGTAAATGTAGACAGCAGAAGTAACCTTGAAAGCAGCAATATCCCGTTTGGCTAAAAACCAAAATGACAACCATCTAAAATCTGCCCAGTGAAGCCCCCCCAAGGGAGATATTATCACCCAGTAGCTTCCCGTCCTTCCAAACTTGTAGGGGGAGTTGCCCTTAATTGTGTGTGCACAGCAGTTCAACTTTCTTGTTTATGGTGTGGCTGTTGAAAAGGCTCGAGGGAAAAAACCTAAGTTAGTGGGAGAATTCAGTGAGAACCCTGAATGATCCTGTGTGCCAACTTGTAGCTGGTATTTCAGGATCATTATGAGAATCCTTTCATTTAGGTAACACGACTACATATTTAGTAAGTAGAATCTGCTTCCAGATAAAACTTACTGCTGTCCTTCAACATTATCAGATTATAACCGGTCTGTTTGTGAGAGTATCTACACTGTGTGTGATTCAAAACATCACTGGAGAAACAGCAGTGATCCTAGAGTTCTTGTGGGCAAAAGACACTACAGACAGATTGATTAGAGCAGAATGCATGAGAGTTCAGACGGATTCTCTCTAGTTTGTCATGAATTTGCCGTTTGTCCTAATGCGAACGTGCTGGGCCATGCTCCAGGTGGGTTAATCCAAACACATGACACCTGTCTAAGAACTACTGCCTGTTGAAGCCCACCCCTCAATTCAGTGATCAAGGTTTTGCCTCCATGCCTCGGAGACATTACTCGTATCAATTAAACTAGTCAACACATCTTCAGAAGTTTCTTTTTACATTAAGCCTTTAAACCTTATGTTACCACACGCAGTAAATCCCCATTGCTAACTGAAACCACCCAGCGTTTTTCAACTAGTTGTTTCATCGTGGTTTAGTGTCCGTTACCCAGAGCTTTGACTGCTTCTGCCCAGTGCTGTCCTGACAAATGACTGAGCACGTTGATCGATGCACTCTGAACATCAGCTCTCCATGGATGAAACTTCGAGAACCAGCATCAGAGCTGAGAATCTGGGCAGTCCTGATGGTCTCTCTGGAGTGAGGACCAAGAGCTGGGGGATGAGAACCACATGTTCCTCAAACTGAGGGCAAGTCCGCATGTTCTGCAGCCCGGAACCAGCCTTCAATGCACTGTCAGTCAAGGACACTTTGTCTCGGTGGGCTTGGCTTTACAAGCCCCCCTGCCGTGTCAGCCCCTCACTTCTGGAAGTTCGGCAGCCAGGCCTGGATTCACTCCAGTAACACCCGACCAGCAGGGCTGCTCATCTAGCTGATGTCAACCTGCTCAGAACCTGGAAGTCCCCCAGGCCCTTACAGGTGGTAAACCCAGCTTTGTCTTCACGTCAGATCTTCAGTCGCGGTTTCATCAGATTGTGTCAAAGGCAAGGCCTCTCTCTCGTGTGTTTTTTCCCTAGGCAACAGGGCTTGTTGGCGGTAGAACTGTATTTAGAAACTTTGGCACCTGCTACCACCAAGAAATCAGGAAGCCCGGCTTTTAATCCACCCTCTCCAGTAACATGAGAACAAGGCCAGCTCCACATTTTAGGTGGAGCCCTGGATCGCTTAGAGACCTTGCAAAGCCACGGGACCCATTTTTGAAAGTTACCTGGCAGAGAAAGAACATGAAGCACTGCTTTGCTTCTGCTGTCTCCAGACCTGAGCAGTGAAAGCCCCTTTTCCTTCTGTACCAAGCCCTCCAGGACACAAGGACAGTTGCCTTTCCCTTTTAAAGATGTTTGGTGTTGATCACAAGTTGTGTTTACCTGGGTGAGCACCCTGGCAAAAGAGGATCCATGTAAGGAGGGCTGTGGTGGGCCATCTGCCAGCCCCCTTGTTGCTGACCTGGAACTGTGGGGGTGCACACACATGGACACTCCGGGCAGTTTGGAGGCATTCCTACTTGCCCATACTCCTTGTCCAGTTTAGAAATCTCACGGGTCAGGGTTTCCCAAATTCGTCACTGTTGACATGAATTTGTCACAAATTCTCTGTCGTTCAGGCTGTCCCGTGTGCCATACGGCACTTAGCAGCATCCCAGTCCCTACACGCTAGGTGCAATAGCACCCTGTCCCACGTGTGGCTAATCAGAAACGTTATCAGATAGCCAGGCATTCTGAACATTTCCTGGGGCAGGGGAGGGTCATTTGGGTAGACTGTTGTTGTAGATAAAAGGGCAGAGGGCCTCTCACCCCCTTTTCCTTCTTTCTTCTAGAACGATGCCCTTTCCCTTCTCCCCTGCCTTCACCTCTTGTTCCTCTAAGCTTGATTGACTGGTTATGCTTGGAATTAGCTGCTGACTCTCGAAAAACACAATCATATCGCAGTGCTCACAACACACACCTCTCCCTGCGTCGGACTCTTCACAGGCAAAGGTGATGTCTTTATCATCCTCTCAGCCCAGCGGCCAGCCCATAGTACTCGCTCAGTGTGCTCACTGAATTGACCTTCTTATCCCAGAGCCGGTAACGGACATGGGTGCTGCGTGGATTTCTGATCTAACTCACATGTGAATTGGGTTCAAGGGGTCACCCTTGGCAATGAGTGGGAGGGGCTGAACTCTGGAGGTTCCTGAATCTTGCATCATAGGGTCAGATTACGAAGAGCAAACAAAAAGCAAGAGAGTGCGGGTGGAGAGAAGATGGGGACTGAGCCCTCTGGATGCTGAAGCAGTTGCTGGACCTTAAATGCTCCTTGCATGGAGCTGGGGAGTTGTCTGCCTTAGGATTTAATTTCCTCCCGCAGCTTTCCCCCTGTGCCAGGAGGCAAGCCAAAGGTCCTCAGCTGCACGTGCGGTCTGACTGGGGGTGGGGTTGGGGCAGGGGTAGCCCCAGAAAGCAGCACCACGGCCCGCGGGAGCAGATGCAGGCTCTGAGATGGGCATGTGAGCACCATCTCTGATCTTGCATCGGGAGAGGAGGACGCCAAGAATGACAGTAATCCACGAGATACCACATTTTTGCAAAATTAATTGCTATAATTTGCAAAGGAAAAAATAGATGGGGTTGAAATACTAATGTGCTTTGCCTGGTATTTTCCTGCCAAGTCTTCCTGCCAAGTCAGATCACTGCCCCCCTTCCCACCCCTCAAACACCCCCTCTTAAGCCCAGGAGTCTGCACGTTTATCTGGTGAGGCCCTGGATACCAGCTTCGTCAGACGTTCTAAAGGCGGTTATAGATCCACAGAATTTTCAAACCTAGTGGAACCCTATAGAATTCTATAGTTCAGACCCTCATACATATGAGGAAATTAATAATGCATGAGCCATGGCATGCTCTGTGAGTAGAGCAAGTCAGAGCAGAGTGGCTGATGCTTTCTCTCTCCCACTTGACCCTCTTCCCTTCCTCCCCTCCCTCGCCCCAAAATGCTAAAAATTTCCACTTCCCACAAACGTGGGAGAAGGTGTGCGGGAGAAGAGGCCTGGGCAAGTGCAAGCCAAATGGTTTCTTAAGGCTCCCTTCAACACCCACCTGCACGGTTTCCGCTACGGGTGAGACGCTGTTGGTCTTCCGGGGGCCCACGCGGAACTTGGCGGCCTTGTAGACCTTCCAGTACACGAAGAGCACCACACCCAGCGGCAGGTAGAAGGCGCCCACGGTGGAGAAGACGGCGTAGGAGGGCTCGCGGCTCACCTGGCACTCCTCACTGCCCTCCGAGTAGGTCTCCCCCCAGCCGAAGAGCAGCGGGGCCAAGGAGATGATGGCCGAGAGCGCCCAGGTGAGCGCGATCATGACGTTGGAGACGCGCCTGCGGGCGCGGAGCGTGTATTCCAGGTGACGGGTGATGGACCAGTAGCGGTCCAGCGCTATGGCCGTCACGTTCCAGATGCTGGCCGTGCAGCAGAGCACGTCGCACGCGATCCACAGCTGGCACAGCCGCCGGCCCAGCTGCCAGCGGCGCCCGGACAGCTCGTGCACCAGGCTGAGCGGCATGACCAGAGCAGCTACCAGGACGTCCGAGATGGCCATGGACGCCACCAGGTTGTGCGGAACGCGGTGGAACGTGCGGACGCGGAGGATGGTCGCCAGCACCAGCAGGTTCCAGGCGAACGTGGCCGCCACCAGGAAGCCCAGCAAGGTCAGGACAAGCACACCAAAGACGGAGAGCAAGGGCAGGCTGGGGCGTGGGTCTGCTGCGTCGAAGCTGCTGCGGTTGGTCTCCCCAGGGGCTGGGGTGGAGAGGGTGAAGGAGGTGAGGTTCGCGGGCGGGTCCATCTCTGGGTCAGGAGGCCGGCTCCGTGGTGTGTAGGAAAGGGGCGCCCAGGAGGACGCACGGTGGCCACCGTGCCGGAAGCCAGTCCGGAGGCTTGTCCTCTCTGGCCAGCCGCAGGGTTTCTGGGGAGCGCCTACGAAACGGGCCGATCTCCTGCATCCGTGGGAGACGGTGTGGCGGAGGGGCGGGCGCTGGGCTGCAAGCCGGCGGCAGATCTGAAGTCCTCAGAGGCAGGGGGCTGCGTCTCTCAGCCAGGGCCCGCCTAAGGGTCGCACGGTCAGGCGCTTCGCCTCGGCGGAGATATAGCAGTCTGTTTGCCTAGAGTCGAGCGTCCCCCAAGTGTCGGAGACAAGCTGCGCGGCCCCCGGGCGTGTTGCCGCCGAGGGCTGGGTGCGTCAGCGCAGTTGTTCTCGCCGCGTGGCCTCCCCGCCCGCCTCTCTCCCCGCAGCAGCCGCGGGCTGCAGCCGCAACTCCGCGCTGAGCGAAGCCCAACAGGGACCTGCCTTCTGCTCGGGCCCCGGCCCCTTCCCGCCCCGTGTGGGGCCGCGGCCCCGCAGAGCGAGTGCTGGCGTGCCCACCCGGACCCGCCTTATCAAACTGGGGAGCCAGCCTACGTAAAGCATCAGCTGATGAGGCCGCCTCTCGGCCCCGAGCGCGCCGCGCTGGCGCTGTCCCGGGTGCTGCCGGCTGTCCCCGCCCCGGCCCGCGCGCGCGGAGCTTGCTGCTGTCCATGGTGCTGCCGCTTCTCCCCGAAATGAGCGCCCCTCGCGGAACGAATTTACCAAAGAACTTTCCTTGAAACATTCCCCTAAGCACTCCACACCTATGGCCTTTCTAGGGGTGGTCTCGATATCTTGAGAGGGTTCTTCGCTTTCCACGGGTCTTACATTTAATACCTGTCTTCCAAGTTAAGCTTCCGAGTAAAAAGCTTCCCTGGTTGTTCAGATGGTAAAGCATCCGCTTGCAATGTGGGAGATCCAGGTTCAATCCCTGGGTCGGGAAGATCCCCTGGAGAAGGAAATGGCAACCCGCTCCAGTACTCTTGCCTGGAAAATCCCATGGATGGGGGAGCCTGGCGGGCTGCAGTCCATGGCCTCGCAAAGAGTCAGACACAACTGAGCGACTTCACTTTCCAAGTTAAGGGTCTGATATGATTTCACTGGCTTTTCTACTCTGAAAGATTTCAGTACCTGATTGCAGGCTTCTTACACACCTGCTTCCTTAGAGGGCTGTCCTCTTTTAAGGAAGAAGGGCAGGATAGCAGTTGCCTGCTGTCCTAGAGGTGCTGAGGTATTGGAGCTAGAATGTTTAGACCATTTTCTCCAAGTCATAGAGAAGTTGCATGGTCTCCAGTGAGCTCTACCACATTTGCTTCTTGTGAAGGGAAAAAAAAAGGATAAAAGTTGTTATAAAAGCTCCATCTCACTCACAAAAAGGAGGAGGGCATATTTAACTCTTTCCCCCCACACACTCACATAGCCACACACACAAACCCACAGTAACTAAGAAAATATCAAAGTTCCTACCTGGAAGTCATGATTTAAAGCACTCACAGATAGGCACATGATATAGCAAGATAAAATAACTTAAAATCAGGAAAGTGAGATGACAGAAAAGTGAGATGGTATTAAGCTTTCTTTTTTAAAAGTGCATACAATGGGTGTCATTGAATCCTATTCATTCACAAGTGGTTTTCCACAGATTTGGTTGAAAACTTTTTAACTATATGAAAATGAGAAAAACATGGGCTTCCCAAGTGGCACTACTGGTAAGGAATGTGCCTGCTAATGCAGGAGACATAAGACTTGCAGGTTTGATCCCTGGGTGGGGAAGATGCCCTGGAGGAGGAAATGGAAACCCACTCCAGGATTCTCGCCTGAAGAATTCCATGAACAGAAGGTCTCAGAGAATCAGACACGACTGAAGTGACTGACCACACACATACCAGATTCTACTTCTAAGGGAGTGAAACAAGCCCCAGGAGACTGCTCTGAGAAGGGAGAAGCCCCCCCTACCCCTGAGCTCAGAGGAGAGGACACAGCTAGGGAATGTTGATAAGAACGTTGTTCATTAAATAAAGGTTACTTACAGAGCTGCTTTCCCAAATATCTCCTAAAAACAGCTGATGGTGGCTGCCTTGTGCATGCTAATCCATGTGGCTCTAGCCAAAAGGCAGACGTGGTTGTTTAGAGAATGTCACGTTTTTGGAGTCACAGAGCTAATTAGAATGAAATGTGGACAGTCTCCTTCTTTGGGGGGGGGGGAATGCTCTGAGCAGTCTGCCTTCTGTTTCAGGGGCGCATGGCTGGGTGGAATGGCTGAGCCGTGCTGACGGTAAGGAAGGCCTGGATAATGACATCTGCCAGAACAGATATGGAAGACAATGTATGTGCTCAGTCACTGTAGTCCTTCTGACTCTGTGACCTGTGGACTGTAGCCTGGCAGTCTCCTCTGTCCATGCGAGTCTCGAGGTAAGAAATGCCTGAGTGGGTTGCCATGCCCTCCTCCAGGGGATCTTCCTGACCCATATCTCCTGTGTTTACAGGCAGGTTCTTTAGCGTTAGTGCTACCTGGGAAGTCCTTGGAAGACATCATGGGCTTGAAATGATATCCCATCCCAAGTACTGTCTGGTACACCTGTCTGTACTGATTGTTAATTGAGCAGCTGTCCAATAAGGGGCCAAGCCAGGAATAACTGAGGATATTTTGTGCAAATGGGAGCATCATAAACTTGAGAATTGATGAGAATGCTCTAAGAAAGAGGAGATCCAATGGAATATTTCCAGAAGAGGCAATTTCTGTTGAGAAGTCCTGTTTTATTTTCTTACACAGACACAAAGGAAAGATCAGAACGTTTCAGCTTTTTAATCTTAAAGCATGGCCACAGGTTTAGCTTGAAGAAATGCAAACAGGTGTAAAGTTCTCATCTGCCATAAAGCACTTCAGAAATGCCAGTTTTGAGGAATAGGATTTTCTGTTTACCACCTGTAGTCTATATCCCCTCTCTCCTAAACCCTCATTTTGAAGTTCTGACCTCTAGTACCTCAGAATGTGACTATATTTGGAAATAGGGTCTTGAGCGATAAGATTAAGTTAGAGTGAGGCTATTAGAGTGGGCCCTCATTGAATCTGACCTGTATTCTTATAGGAAGAGGAAACTGGACACCGACCAACACCAGGGATGTTGGTGCAGCAAGGAAAGAGAGCAAAGACCCAGCAAAGAGGTGGCCATCTAAAGCCCAGGGAGAGGCCTCAGGAGAAGCCACACCCGATGACACCTTGCTTTTGAGCTTCTAGCCTGCAGAACTGTAAACCATAAAGTAAACTTCTGTTTCTTAAGTTGCTGTGTGCTGTTTTGATACGGCCCTCTGGCAAATGAATACACCATCAACAAAAGCTACTTGCTGAAAAGATGCAACCAGGTAACTAACTAGAGTGATAGGCTGTGTGGTGGTTTTATAGACACATTAACCGATTGTAGGACAGCTACCAAAACATGTCTTTATAAAATGTAATTTGTGGCCATTCTAGCAATAATTAGATTGCGGGCTCAGTTGTCTATTGAAGTTACTTACAGTTTGTGATTAAGCCAAAGAAGCATATAGAAGACTGCTCATTTTACATTTTCCTATTTTCTTAGTGGGAAAGTATGCATCTGTTTCATTCAAGTAGGAGCTGATTCTTAACTGAAAGTTTGAAAGTAATAAAAAATTGGAAATGCAGAATAGAACCTAATTCTGCTCCACTTGCAAGGATCTGGTTGGTAAGATTTTTACCTACTCACCCTAACCACCACAATTTTGTGAAATCAACAATTCATTAACAGATAATCCTAAAGAAAAAAAAAACAGATAACCCTTCTTACAGCAAGTCTGTATTATATACCAGACATTAAATGATACCCCCCTGTGATCATGCCTCAGAAATTTCTATTAGGAACTACCTCAGTGGTTATTTCTCCAGTTCCCAAGTGCATGATTGGAATACAATTAATGGCAGTGGGCAGACCCCCCCCCCCAGCCCCCCGCCACTGCTTCCTTGACCTGGGCTGGTAGAAGCTGTTGTAATAAGGAAGGCCAAGAGAAAGTCTCCAAAACTTCTCCTCCGACCTTGCAGCCAAGACAGCAGACAGCAGAAACAGCGGCACACAGCTGAGGGGAGTCCACGTGTGCCTCAGTCCTGGGTCCTGGCAGCCCCAGTGGGGCCCTGGCGGGGAACAGGGATTAGACCCGAGCTGGCTGTGCAGGACTGCTGGATATCGTCTCGGCTGGCGTGGGTGAGCACAGCCTTCAGTACCTGGTGGGCAGCCACTGATCTGGCTCCATCCCTATCACTCTGGAGAATCAGAGTGTCTCCAACTCCCTTGGAACAGCCAACGGCAACCAGGATGAGATTCCTGCACCAGAACGAGGTGAGCTTTCCTTCTCGCTGCCCCAAAGGGCCCTGGGTCGTCTAGATCGGTGGTTTTCAAAGTGTGGCTCCTAATCCCTTTCAGTAGGTCTGGAATGTCCAAACTGTTTTCACAATAACAGAAAGATATCGCTGGCTTTTCTCATGGTGTTGGCATTTCATTGAGGGTTGGATGGATGCGGCGGGGGGGGGGGGTGTGTGGGGGGAGAGACCTGCCCAGTGCATGCGCAGAGTGGCCGTGTGAAACCACAGCAGTCGTCACAGGCCTTCCTCACTGTTATGTTCTCACAGGAAGAGGGGAACTCTACAGGGCTCACTGGCAGGTGTCCTAGGGAAGCAGAGACATTACTAACAAAGGCCCGTCTAGTCAAAGCCATGGTTTTTCCAATGGTCATGTATGGATGTGAGAGTTGGACCATAAAGAAGGCTGAGCACTGAAGAATTGATGCTTTTGAACTGTGGTGTTGGAGAAGACTCTTGAGAGTCCCTTGGACTGCAAGGAGATCCAACCAGTCCATCCTAAAGGAGATCAGTCCTGAATGTTCATTGGAAGGACTGATGTTGAAGCTGAAACTCCAATACTTTGGCCACC